GGGGTGGGGGGAAGAGGGACATTTATTTCTCCCAAGTGATGTCAGCCTGTTTCAGGTGTGAAATTTAAACCCTCTGTTGCTTGCTTTCACAAAAATCATCTCTTCTTTCTAGTAAGCATTTTGATAGAGTCAGAAACGACACAGTTTGGGGGAGAAAGGGGTGGTTTCTAATCTGAGATGATTCTGGGGATTCTGAACAGTGCCACAGCCGGGCTGTGAGACCCTGGCTTTGAGTTGGGGGTGCTTGCAACAATACTTTTAAACCTCTGGATGTTTGTGTTAGATATTTTATTTTCTTTTTTTTTTTTTTTTAATTTTTTTTTTCAACGTTTATTTATTTTTTTTGGGACAGAGAGAGACAGAGCATGAACGGGGGAGGGGCAGAGAGAGGGGGAGACACAGAATCGGAAACAGGCTCCAGGCTCTGAGCCATCAGCCCAGAGCCCGACGCGGGGCTCGAACTCACGGACCGCGAGATCGTGACCTGGCTGAAGTCGGGCGCTTAACCGACTGCGCCACCCAGGAGCCCCAAATATTTTATTTTCAACTGTCATGGCAGTTTGATATAAAAGGACAAGCCTTTGAGAGGAGCTGGAGAGCACAAATTACTCCTTTGGACGGTATCACATTGAAGTTACTCTACACAGAATCACGTCTGCCTTCCAGAAGCCTCCCAGCCTTCCTTAGCCCTGAAGTCAGAACTGCTACTTCAGTTTGTCTCAATTCTGCTGTGGTGTTTGATTTGCTTCTCTGGCTGGAAACAAGAAGAGGTCTGAGGGGGCCGTGGGTGGGGTGGGGGAGAATGAACACCCCAGGGCGTTTTCTCCACCATGCTCTTGCTTGCTCATTCTCCTGCTCCACCTTTCTGGCTGCCCCCAGGGTATCGATCTAGAGGATTCAGGGGTCTGCATCATTTGCAGAGGTTACCTGCTGGCCTTAGAAAAGTTCTGAACAGTTTGGTGTCAGATCTTTCTTTCTTTCTTTCTTTCTTTTCGTTCTTTCTTTTTTTAGAGCGCATTAGCTGCGATGCTGGCCATTTAAAGTAGGGATGAATGAATTATTGGGCAAAAAGGAAGCTTTTAGTTGCATGCATTGGTACATACCATGTGCAGTCTAAATGCGATTTTCCAAAGTTGGGATTCCCAGAAGAAGAAGAGCACACGGTAGGTAGGTGGCATTAGGCCAGTTGAACCGGGTTCGGGAAGTCTTACTTTACAAGCATGTTTCCCAGGGAGGTTTGCGATGGTTTGCGGTAGAACGATAATGTCCTTCCTGCTGAAGGTCCTCGGCCCTGGGAGTTCGTAGAGGAAGACCTGCCCGGACCCCTGTTGTTCACTGGGAAACTCCCACATCTCTGTGTCATCATGGAAAGAGGTGGCTCTGTCACAGATGAAGAGTTGTACAAATTATTCTAATCTTTGCATTCAGTTAAGCACAAAATTGCCTCTTCACCCAGGAATCACGCCTCATAATCCTGAATTCGCTGCATTTTAAGGCAGGCCTTGAACGCCCCAGTGCGGGAGGGGTCAGCGCCAGGTGGGGACACCCATAGACCGGGAGGCCTGCAAATGGGGACTGATAATCAGCAGAGCCTTGGCGAGATCACGCATAGTCCCGAGTGAAGCAGAGCTCCCCTCGGAGCTTTAAAACAGCCTCGAGGCATGAATCATTCTATTACCAAGGCTGGCCGGCTTGAGAGGAACCGAAAAAATGAAAATTACTCCTGTTGCTCATTAGCAAAGGGGAATACGCAAATGTCGAGGGTCCCCCTGCACACCGCTGTTTGGATTTGACAAGCAGAGCACTCTCTTCGTGCCAGAGTCTTTCCCAGCCTTCGTATCTGTTCGGAGCAGTTGGACAGACGCTAGAAATGAGGGGCTTGAGAAAATAGAGCGTTTTTCACACCACTTGAACCAGTGTCAGATACATTTTGTGATTTGATGCTCATTAGAGACTCACATTTTCTTTTTTTCTTTTTTTTTTCCTTTTTTTTTTAAAGCTTGTTTATTTTGAGAGAGAGAGTGGGCGCGCAATCAGGACGGGGACAGAGAGAGAGAATCCTAAGCAGGCTCTGCACTGTCAGCACAGAGCCCGATACGGGGCGTGAACTCACGAACTGTGAGATCCTGACCTGAGCCGAAGTCGTTCACTCAACCGACTGAGCCACCCAGGTGCCCCGCGACCGGCATGTTTTAAAGGCTCGCACTATGGGAAAGTGCACTTTCCCAACCTTGCAGCCAGTCTGTGAGGAAATAACCTGAATCGCAGCGGTTCCTCAATGTCCTGTCGTTGTTTGTTCCCTGGGTGGCCGTCCTGGCTGGGCGTTTCTCTGATGTCCCTGTATTTCTGTCCCAGGTCACTCTGCTGATCGCCTTCATCTGCGTGAGGAGTTCTGTGTGGACCAGGTACAGTGCCTACAGCTACTTTGAAGTGGTCACCATCTGCAACTTGATAATGATCCTCGTCTTTTACCTGGTGCATCTCTTCCGTCTCTACCGCGTGCTCACCTGCATCAGCTGGCCCCTGTCGGTAAGGGAGTGGCCTGGCCCGATTCTGGACACCCAGAAGTCAGGGTATTAGCTGAGGCACTGAGACCCAACAGAATCCATCCCATCTGTGCCCCCTGGTGTCCACCTGCTCTTCCTCCGTCTCTTCCTGCTGTGGCCCTGCACGTCCCAATGTCTGCCGGACATCTCTGCCTGTGTCCTGCTGTGCCTCCTGCCTCAGTGTTTATTCTCTTGAGTGGCAGGAAATGGGCCATGTGTGTGAGTTTGGAGGAAGAAGCTCCTAAAGGCGATGGGGATTTATACTGTTGGGAGTACTGAATGGTAAGATTCAGCAGCTAAAAGGACTGGCAGAGTCCGAGGAAAGATTTCAGAAGTTTCCAGGATTTTTTTCTTCCCACTCTGTTATTTAAAAAAAAAAATTTTTAAATGTTTATTTATTTTTTGAGAGACAGAGCGTGAGCAGGGGAGGGGCAGAGAGAGAGGGAGACACAGAATCCGAAGCAGGCTTCAGGCTCCGAGCTGTCAGCACAGAGCCCAACATGGTGTTTTAACTCATGAACCGAGAGATCATGACCTGAGCCGAAGTCGCACACTTAACTGAGCTACGCAGGCGCCCCTCTATTATTTTTTTATAAGCTTGGTTGACATATACTTCACGTGCCGGACAATTGCCTATTTAAAGTGTACAATTCTCCCGATTTTGCTATCTTCCCAGAGTTGTGCAGCCATCGCCATAGTCAATTTTAGAACATTTTCCTCGCTTCAGAAAGAAACCCCATATGCTTTAGCTGTCACCTCCTACCTTTCATCCCCTCCAACCTTAAGCAACCACTAATCTACTTTCTGTCTCCATGAATTTTCCTCTTCTTGACATTTCCTGTAAATGGAAGCATATGTGTGGTCTTCTGTCACTGGTTTCTTTCACCTAGAGTGTTTTCATGGTTTTTCTATGTCGTAGCATGCATCAGTACTTCCATTTTTTTTAATAACCAAGGAATATTCCATTAAAAGGATATACCACATTCTGTTTATTCTGATGGACATTTGGGTTGTTTCCACCTTTTGGCTATCATGAATAATGCTGCTGTGAACATTCACGTACAAGCTTTCTGCGTGGACGTGTTTTCATTTCGCTAGGGAATATACCAGAGAGTGGAATTGCCGGTTCCCGTGGTAACTGTGTTTAATTGTTTGAGGAGCTGCCAGACTTTTTTCCAAAGTGACTGCACCATTTTATATTCCCATCAGCAGTGTAGGAGGGGTCCGATTTCCCCACATCCTTATCAATATTCGTCATTTTCTTACTTTCTGATTTTAGTCACTCTAACGAGTATGAAGTGGTATCTCATGATTTGCATTTCTCTGATGACTGTTGATGTCAATCATCGTTCCGTGAGCTTTCTGGCCATTCATGTTATCTTCTTTAGAGAAATGTCTGTTCAGATCCTTTGCCCATTTTTGACTAGGTTGTCATTTTATTACCGAATTCTCAGTCTTTTGTATATTTTAGTTAGAAGTTCCTTATCAGATAAATGATTGGCAGATATTTTCTCCCATTCTATTGGTTATTTTTCACTTTCTTAAGTTTTTTTTAATGTGTATCCATTTATTTCTTGAGAGAGAGAGAGCACACGAGCCTGGAGGGACAGAGAGAGAGGGAGAAAGAGAGAAATGCCAAGCAGGCTCCGCACAGAGGGGCTTGAACCGGCAAACTGTGAGATCATGACCTGAGCTGAAACCAAGAGTTTCAACTGCCTGAGCCACCCAGGCACCCCTAGTGTTCACTTTCTTGATAGTGTTCATTAAAGCACAGGTTTTTAGTTTGATGAAATCTAATGTAACTACTTTTCTTCTGTTAATGATGTTTTTGGTATAAAATCTTAAAAGCCAAACCCAAGATCATGAAGATTTTACTCTGTGTTTTCCTCTAAGGAGTTTCATAGCTTCAGCTCTTACATTTAGGTATTTTGTCTATTTTGAATTAATTTTTTGTGTCTGGTGTGAGGTAAGGATTCAACTTCATTCTTTTGAAGGAAAGAATACGTTGAAATGTAAATATCCAGTTGTACCAGCACCATCTGTTGGGAAGACTGTTCTTTCCTCATTGCATTGTCTTGACATCCTGGCTGAAAATGACCATAAACACATGGATTTATATCTGGACTCCCAGTTGCATTGATCTTACCACACGGTCTTGATTGCTGAAGATTTGTAGCCAGTTTTCAAATTAGGAATTCTGAATCTTCTGTTTGTTCTTTTTCAGGATTGTTTTGGAGTTTTGCAATTACATATGAATTTTAGAGTCAACTTTTTAGTTCCTACAAAATGTCAGCTGGGATTCTAATACAAACTGCACTGAATCTAGAGATCAATTTGGAGAGTATTGCCATCTTAACATTAAGTTTTGTGACCTAGGAACATGGGAGGTTTTCCCATTTATTTAGATCTTCTTTAATTTCTTTCATCAATGTTTTATAGTTTTCAGAGTGTAAGTTTTGGTGCATTTGGCACGGGGGAACTTAAATCTGTTTCTAAGTACCTTATTTTTTTGATGATATTTCAAATGTAATCATTTTCTTAATTTTATTTTTGGATTGTTCATTCCAAGTGGATAGAAATACAAGTGATTTCTGTATATTGATCTTGTATCCTTAACCTTGGTGAACTCATTTTAGATCTAACAGACTGTTAGTGGATTCTTCAGGATTTTGTAGATATAAGATTATGCCATCTATGAGTAGAGATAGTTTTATATTCCTTTCCAATCATTTTCTTATCTTATTGTTTTTATTCAACTAAGAAATTAGTTGAATATTGAAGTGGCAAGACCACACATCGCTATCTTGTTCCTGAGCTTAGGAGGAAAGCATTCCATCTTTCATCATTAAATATAATGTTAGCCGTGGATTTTTACAGATGCGATTTATCAGATTGAAAAAGTTAATTTCCAGTCCTACTTTGTTGAATGTTTTTTTTATCATGAAAGGGTGTTAGATTTTGTCAAATGCTTTTTCTTAGTCTGTTGAGGCAATCGTGGGTTTTCCCCCTTAATATTCTTCTAATATAGTGTATTACATTGACTTTCATATGTGGAACTAAAGTTTGCATCCCTGGGATAAATTTTGTTTGGTCATGATATGTAATTCAGTTTATATGTAGCTGGGTTTGGTTTGCTAGCATTTTATTGAGAATTTTTATATTTGTATTTGTAAGAGATACCAGTGTGTAGTTTTCTTGTGATACCTTTGTCTGGTTTTGCTATCACTGTAATACTGGTCTCATAGAATAATTTGGGAAGTGTTACCACCTCTTCTATATTTTAAAAGAGTTTGTGAAGAATTGGTATTCTTATTTAAATGTTTGGTAGAATTCTGCAGTGAAAGCATCTGAGCCTGGGTTTTTCTTATGGGTGATTTATTATTCTTATTAATACAAACTCTACTTGTTTTACATTTTTCAGATTGTTTATTTCTGCTTGAGTCATTTTCAGTGGTATGTTCTTATAGGAACATGTCTGTTTCATCTAAGTTTTCTAAGTTACTGACATACAAATGTTCAAGTATTCCTTTAAAATCATTTTTACTTCTGTAAGGTCTGTAGTGATGTCCCTCTTTCATTTCTGATTCTGGTCATTTGAATCTGGTCATCTTTTCTCTCCCTTTTTTTTTCTTGATCAGTTTTGCTAAAGGTTTGGCTGTTTTTTTCATCTTTGCAAAGAACCAGTTTTGGTTTCACTAATTTTCTCTATTGTTCTTCTGTTCTCTAGATCATTAATTTCTGCTCCCATCTTTTTTTCCTTCTGTCTCCTTGCTTTAGATTTAGTTTGATCTTCCTTTTCCAATGTCTTAAGGTAAAGATTAGGTTATTAATTTGAAACCTTTCTTCTTTTTTAGTATATGTCTGTACAGCTATAAATTTCTTTCTGAGCACTGCTTTAGCTGCATCCCATAATTTGAGTCTATTATGTCTTCATTTTCGTTCATCTGCAAGTATCTTCTAATTTTCCTTGTGGTTTTGTCTCTAATTGGCCCATTAGTTAGGAATGTGTTATTTTGTACATATCTGTGGGTTTCCCAAATTTCTTCCTGCTATTGCTTTCTAATTTCATTCTGTTGTAGCTGAAGAACATACTTCATGTTATTTCAATATTTCACATTTATTGAGTTTTATTTTATGGTTTAACATATAGTGTATCCTAGAGAATATTTTATTTGCATTTGAGAGGAATGTATATTCTGTTGTTGGGTAGAGTGTTTTATAGATGTTAGGTTAGGTTTAGTTGCCTTATAGTATTGAGTCTTCTATTTCCTTGTTGATCTTCTCCCTAATTGTTCTATACATTATTGAAAGTAGGGTATTGAAGCTTCCAACTATTATTTTTGAATTATCTATTTCTCCCTTCATCTCTTTTGAGTTTTTGCTTCATGTGTTGCTTTGTTGTTAGGTGAATTCGTGTTTATAATTGTCTGTCTTCCTGACGGATTGATGTTTTCATCATTATAAAATGTCCCTCTTTATCTTTGGTAACATTTTTTGTTTTAAAATCTATTTTGTCTGACACCAGTATAACGCCTCCAGTTTTCTTTTGGTTGCTGTTTGAATGGAAGCTTCTACTGTCAATCTGTTTGTATCTTTGAATATAAGGTTTTCTCCAGTAGACTAGTTGAATCTTTTTTTTTTTTTTTTTAAATCCAGCCTGACAACCTCTGCTTCTTGTTTGGATTGTTTTAATTATTCACATTTAATGTTATTACCCGCTATGTTATTTTGAGAGACCTTTCCTTTGTGTTCCTAAGTTATAAGGCTCCTTTCAAAGTTATGACACCTTTCTGCTTCTTTTGAGAACAAGCTCCTCTGATAACGATACTGATAATGAACAAGCAGAGGAGGGAATAAAAGCTGGGGACAAGAATAGGGGTGGGCTGAGAAGGGAATGAGAATGTTGGAGGGGTTAGCTCAGCCCCACATTTTCGATGGGGCACTATTGGGGCATCTTCCATTTAGGACTCTCTCAAGTCAGTTTTCCGTACCCCATGTCATAGTCCTCTCACGTCATAGTCCTCTTTCTTTGTGGGTGAGAATCTTGGAGGGAGGGAACTTCACTTACTAATCTGCTCTTCAGTCAAAATCTCTGTGATCTACTTTCTGATAATTCCTTTCTAGTCCGTAAAGGGGAAATTTGGGTGTTTGATTTTGCCCAGCTTTCAGAGGAGCTGCTGCTTAAAAGTGGAACGCTTTTCCAGAATTTAATGGGTGACTACCCTGATGGGCAGAACTTCATGAAGGACTAATTTCCAAGTTCTCACCGATGACAATTAAAAATGAATGCACTCTGGATCCAGCGGGAGTACTCTCCCAGCCCTCAGCCCCAGTTCCCCTCTGATCTGGTGTTTAATGGGGAGAAAGAAGGAGGAGGTGGAAGTCATGCTGCTGAATGCAGGAGGTTCAGCCTCATTCAGGGTCTGTGGAGATGCCATTTTAAGCATGGGGTTGAATGGGGTGGAGGCGGACGGAAGCAACGGTGGAGTCTGCCCTGCCAACCAACTCCTCAGCAGAGTGTGATGAAATGAGGACCAAACCAGGAGGCTCGGGTGCCAGAAAGCTGGCTCCCCCACCCCCACAAGCACATCACAGAAGGGCCCTGACCTCACTCTAAGCTCCGACTCCAAGTCTGAGGGGCCGAGCATCTCAAGTCCACACCTACAACTGTTCACAGGGCGGGTGGGCACCCCAGGCCGCCACCAAAGCCAGCACGTTGTTAGACGAGAACTTTCTCGGAAGCAGAAGCGTCAGACACCCCTCTCTTTGAGGGGCTTTGCCTCTCAGAGCTGGAGCTGCCTTTAAACTCTCCAGCCTGGGAGCCATGAGGACCTGTTTGCTCTAGCTCTCGCCAGACATCAGGGTACTGTCTACAGATTGCTCTCAGGAGTAGAGCCGTCCTTAGTGGATATCTTTCCTCACGCGACAAGTGTCCTTTCTCTCTGTTGCCTCTCTGGCTGCCTGCTGGCTCCTTTTCTGTCTTGCAGGGCCTCATCCTCGCCAGCCTTCCGTATCTGCTGCCTGTGAGCTAACTGCTGTGGTCCGAGTTCCTCTCTTCTGTGCCCAGTTGCCTCTGAGAACCAGGAGCAGACCTCCCGACCCACTGCTTTGCTTTGTTTTTGTCCCCAGGAACTTCTGCACTATTTAATCGGTACCCTGCTCCTCCTAATCGCCTCCATTGTGGCAGCCTCCAAGAGTTACAGCCAGAGCGGACTGGTAGCTGGAGCGGTGAGGATGGTCTCGGGGGACACTTCACGAACGAGTTCACCTCTAGTACATTTTCTTCCTGATGGGCAGCGAAGGGATTGTTTCCCGGGGCCTTTCTTTCCTAGAAAAGTACCCATCAGTACCCGCCTCGATCCAGCCAGCAGCAGTCTCCAAAGAGCCTTAAACTTGGGCCCACAGCAGAGGGTCTCAGCAGGTGGACCGTCAGGGCTTCTGGCACACACAGATGGCCCGTGGCCCAGCCCTCTCTCTCACGAAGCCACTGCTTAAACCAGGGGGCCATTCGGCGTTAATGCACATGCCCATTGGAGTCATTTGCTTGTGGCTACCTCAGTGTTGTGCGGGCAAAGATTCCAAGGCCACGTTAGGGCCCACTGGAGGATGTGGTCAGTTAGTGATACCTGTCACGAGTCCTGGCTTTGCTGGTCCTGATTGATAACAATATTCAGGCCAGGAAGTAACACTTTTAGACCTTTCAAAGGTGAGACTTGATCGATTGATAGCCTGAATAGAACCATGGAAATGTATAAAAATAAGAGTGCTGTGGGGCTGTGTTTACCACCCCCACACACACATATTTTCATATGTGTGTATACTATACATATATATGTATTATTTAAAAAAATTTTTTTAATGTTTGTTTATTTTTGAGAGAGAGAGAGAGAGACAGAGCACGATCAGGGGAGGGTCAGAGAGAGAGGGAGACACAGAATCCGAAGCAGGCTCCAGGCTCTGAGCCGTCAGGACAGAGACGGACACAGGGCTCAAACTCACAAACCACGCAATTATGATCTGAGCTGAAGGTAGACACTTAACTGAGCCACCCAGGCGCCCCTGCATTTATTATTACTTAACGATGCATAGATTCCTGCAATCTGGTTTCTGATTTAGCTCACTGGTTACAGTTTGGTGGCCTGTGGGCCAGTACGGATTTGCCTCATTTTGAGTTTTAAGAAAAGCTGCACGGGACAGTCACTCTTTGATGTACATGTAAACAAAATTCTCCAGACTTCGGGTTGGGAGTGGTTTAGTGCCTGGAGTTCCACTGAAGGGTGGGGTCTGTCCTCCAAAGGTGGGGAGGGGGGCAGCCAAGCCTCTCCACACTCATGGGCCTTCGGTGCCTCGCGCAGCCACCCCTCCCCACCCCTGCAATCCCCAAGGACGGGAGTGAATGCTACCTACAGGTTACCACCTGCTTGATTACAGGCTGGCTGGTGCCCACTGTGTCAGAGCCACACAGGAGGCTCCCACTGGGTTTTAGGATTCAGGTTGCACATAACCGTGTCTGTTAGCCTTAGAATTCCAATAAGCCCCATTTATCATACACCGTCTTTGTGCCTAGGACAAAGCCTGGGCCATGAGGGAGCCAGAAGAAATAAAAAGACACGGACCTTGCTTATGAGAAAATGGTAATCTAGTTCAGGAGTCAAGGCCAAGGCGCATAAAACAATTAGCAAACAAGGCATTGTTGTCCAGAATAGCATTATGTAGCGATATAATAAACTGTTCAATTATGCAGTGCAGACAGTTGGGGACCAGGATAGTATATAATGTGCTAATTGTGCAGGACAGACAATGAGGGGCTAGGACAGGCTCCAATAGGCTAATTATGTGGTGCAGACAATCGGTACAAAGGGAGCCAAGGAAAGGGACCTGGGGGAGGGGAGCGGGTGTGGGCCTGTGGGGGCAGCCGCTTATGTAAACCAGAGGCCGGGCCTGAAAAGAAAACCAAACCCTGGAAATCCTGCCCGTGGCCTGGCTGCTCCTGGGCTCCTCCTATCGTGTGTCAGCCGTGGCTCTGGCCGCGCCGCAAACCTGAGGCCATGTGCAAGTCTGGGAACATTTGGGCAAAAATACGGAGCAGGGTTCTGTTGATTCCTAGGGCTCAGATCCCATGTCTGGCCCTCGCTATCTCTGTGGCCCTGAGCAAGCTAGTTGACTTGCTGTCCTTCCTTGTCTTTAGCTGCCAGATGAGGGGCAGGGGAGGGTACCCGCATCACGCAGCCGGAAACGTGGTAGGAGTTTAAAGGATCAGCACACCTGATGGGCTTAGCACACGGGCGGGCACATAGCAAGTGGTCAATAAATTATACTTGCTGCAGCTGCTGGTGTTGTTGACAAGTAAGGAAATGGCTGCAGGCTTCAAAGTTTCACACGAAGACAGCAGAGTCTCTTCGACCATCAGGAGCCTCACACGAGACCCTTTTCCTCCCTGGGCGCCCTGTTCTTTCTTCATCGTTAAGTGAGGTTGGACTGGGCTAGGTCAGCTTTCCTAGATAAGCTAGGTCAGCCGCTTGAGCACAGAGTGGAGCCTCAGAATAGAAAGGTGCGCTGCCCTATTTATTTTAGGCTAATGCTGTTTAAATGTTTGCAGACATGAAACTGCCTGTCAGGGCTTCAGCTTCGGGCTCTTGCCTGGCTATAAAGTGAGACAGAACAGAAAGCCATTAATGAATGAAATGCAATGCTGCCACATCAGTAAGATCCATTTGAACATTAGAAATTTAAAAACCTAAATTAAAATACACAACTTCACCTTTTTCTCTTTCATTAGCCCCGGGTAATTACAGTCCAGTGTCTGGGCCCCAGCTTAGTGGTAAACACAAACCCAAACGTGGGCCCTGAAGTTGCCTAGAGCGAGGAGAGCCAGGAGGTGAAAGCCAGAGCCTGGCTGCCAGGCCTGCGCTAGGGCCCCTGCTGGGGGAGCCGTGGACACAAGGCCTCGTTCCTGCACCTGAGCAGGGACCGGGTGGTCCGCTCCCGTGATTCCCCGGGGCTCCCTCCTGGCCACAGCTGGTCCAGAAACAGGCGCAGGGATGAGAAACAAAGGGCGGCTAGCCTGAGTGATTGGCCCTCGGCCTGGGAACTTCCTTTGCTCTCTCTCCTGTGTAGATCTTCGGTTTTGTGGCCACCTTCCTCTGCCTGGCGAGCATATGGCTGTCCTACAAGATCTCGTGTGTGACCCAGTCAACAGGTGAGTTCTGGTTGCCCAAACACAGATGATCTCTGAAAGTAGAGTTCCCTCTGCTGGGGAACGGAAGGACGGCCTGGTCTGGAGTTCAGCAACAGGGAAGGGCCGCCCACCGTGAGGCGTTGGGGGGGCCAAGGTGGAAAGGTGTCACCCAAGGTTCTCTGCTCCGCACTGTCAGCCCAGCGCCCAACACGGGGCTCGATCTCACAGACTACAGGATCGTGACCTGAGCCGAGATCAAGAGTCGGACGCTTAACCAACTGGGCCACCCAGGTGCCCCGGTGAAGCATTTTCTTTAAATAAGTTCCCTCATGACAAAAATAAAGTGTAGAAAATTTTGAAAATGCAAATAAGAAAAACAAAATATTTTTAATGAAAACCGTCTATCATCACACTACCCAGAAATAGCACCTACTGGGTGTCTGTCCTTCCAGTATTTCTTCTCTCTGGTTGGATGGATGGATGGATGGATGGACAGATACAAAGATATGTAGATACATATGTTGCTTTTGTTAAACGATCCAACTTCAGGTATTATTTGTAACCTGTTCTCATTCTTGTACTTAACCATCTATCAGACATTTTCCCCACTTGCTTGGGGATTCTTTTCCATCACGTTTTTTAAAAAGATTTTATGTATGTACGCATTTAGATTTTATTTTTAAGTAATCTCTGTGCCCAACTTGGGGCTCGAACTTACAACCCCAAGATTGGGAGTGGCATGCTCTAAGGACTGAGCCAGCCAGGTGCCCCTCTTCTCCCATCGCTTTTTGTTAAGTGTTTATTTTTGAGAGACAGCACGAGCCGGGGAGGGGCAGAGAGAGAGAGACAGAGGATCTGAAGCGGGCTCTGTGCTGACAGCAGAGAGCCGAATGCGGGGCTCGAACTCAACAACTGTGAGATCATGACCTGCTCGGAAGTCGAACATTTAACCGGCTGAGCCACCCACGTGTCCCTCCCATCACTTTCATTTATTTATTTATTTATTTATTTTTTTTTTTTAACGTTTATTTTTGAGACAGAGAGAGACAGAGCATGAACGGGGGAGGGTCAGAGAGAGGGAGACACAGAATCTGAAACAGGCTCCAGGCTCTGAGCGGTCAGCACAGAGCCCGACGCGGGGCTCAAACTCACGCGACATCACGTGAGATCATGACCTGAGCCGAAGTCGGACGCTTAACCGACTGAGCCACCCAGGCGCCCCTCTCTCCCATCACTTTTAATGGCTCTGTGCTGTTGCATTGACTCCAGGGCATGTCTG